ATTCAATTTAATTATCAATTAACTAATTACTGAATTTGTTCCAATGACCAATAGCTTGACAGTCATCAACTTACTTGGGTTTGGTGGCAGTCCAACGATATAAAGAGGAGACTATAATAACGCTATTACATTCTTCTTCCATATCTATCAGATCCTCAACATGAGTAGATTGAGTAGACCCTCAGAAAGAGGAAAAAGAAGTAGTTTTGTTGAAATGCTTTCTGACTTGATTACCTATTAGTAATTTGGTGCCAAATAAAAAATTTTTCTTTCTTTATTTCTTTCTATGCATAGTTGAAGTTGAATCCTTCTCCTTCCATGAAAGTCATTAATAAGCAGTAGATATGGGTAGTTAGCTCAAGTTAGCGACGTCAATAAAGGACAACAGAATGACCATTCTCGTTTAACAAAAGCCCAAATCACATGGTCTAGCTAGACTACAGTAGAGCTATTTCACGTCATTTAAAGGATCATTAATGTGACCATTCTCGTTTGACAAAGTCCCAAAAGACGTACTCGTACCTACCTCAAACTAGAGTAAGTACCTACTAGAGCTTATCGCTGGGTGTTAAGAAATACTATAGTGCACGCTAGGAGACACGCTCCAGCTCCCCTAGTACCTACCTAGATAAGTTTAACCTGTACTTTGAGTTTTTTCTTCTGCAATACTGATGCTGGTGCTAGCAGCGTGACCAATTAGTTCCCAAATAACTCATAGTAACATGACAGGATTGACAGCTGATGGAAACTGGACTGGACTGGAAGCGAACCGAACTGGAAAAGGTTTATTAACCTACACGATGGAAGAAGAGAACGAATTTAACTAGATAATTATAATTTCAATAGGTACTGGTATCTAAAAATCAAATTGATAATGCACCCTTTCTTCTTGCTTTGGCGGCTCAGCAAGCGAATCCGTTGGGTAGCCTGTACTAAAAATATGGTTACCGGACAGCCTTAAGACTTATCAAATGGTGACATTGGGTAGCTTAGGGCACATTATTATTATTATTGTTATTGTCCGTGTTGCATAATCTTTTCTTAAAGGTTTTAAACCTTTGTTTGTCACCTGTCATCCGATTTGCAATGGAGGGAAGTCGAACCTTAATTAAGAACTCCTCCTTCTTCTTAATATCAGTTTAACTTTCCCCCGGGACAAACTGGACCTTCATTGGTTGTGTTTTTGTGGCGGTCAAGCTGTAGATCCTGGCTACACAGGAGTTGCAGTGGTGGGAACGAGAGGTGGGAATAGTCCCGATTAGCTTAGGGCACATTTCTCAAACAGATCTGACTGAACCATTAGCGAGCACGGACTAGAAGATACAGCGTGTACTTAACTATTAGGTAATCTTACTACTTAACTATCAGTCTGTGGCAGCGTGTCTGATTGTCATTATCCGTTTCTGATTACCTTCACAGAAAACGATTTAATTCCGTGATTTGAGATTACCACGAAAGTAGACGGTGCATTACCACTTGATGCAGAAGGCACAGTGCCGTTCTGTGGTGTTCAATAGGCCTATATCCAGCTGTGAACTGCTAAAGGCTCTTCTTAAGTAAAGGGAACCCACTTGATACAAACGACAGGGCGATTCTGTGGCGTTCTATGAGAGGACCTATATCCAGCAGTGGACTACTGAAGGCTGAAGATGTGGACGCGGCCATAAGTGGTCAAGACCAGTCATTAAACACCATGAGTTGGGCAAGAACAGTTGTTAAATTACCTTTTATAATTACATTAATTGAGGATTGAACGCAACCAGAACCGCTCGACCGCAGCGCGCAAATTTACTAATGGTAACATTTTTAAACTCATCCACACCTAATACATTAATTAAAAACCCGCTAGCCACACTATTAATTTACTATCCGACAAGTAATTTGATTAAATCCGAGCTGCAAATTCTTGTTATTTCGTAATGGACGCTTAGCTTCACAACCGCGAGTGTTAACGTTACGGTCCAGAGCGTTGGGTGGGAAAAAATATGATTTATTGATGTTGGAACTTGGAAGAGTCACGCACACCTTTCGGTGAAGGAAAGAGGCGGCGAATGAAGAATTTTCAAGTCAAGGGATCTAGACTTAGCACTTTTTGATCGCTGCCAAAATCGAATCCCTTCGCGGAACGAAGTACTAACTGTCGATACTGCTATTAGCCGATAACATCGATTCTATTCAAGATCAACTATTAAGCCGTGTGGTGACAGCAGAGTAGAATACATTTGTCATCAACCCCTACTCTTCCCACAGGTGTCGTAAGAGACTTTAGGGACACATCAAACAGAGAACGGGCTGCAGCGCTCTCTGAAAAACATCAATATTTCAAACTGTGGTCTCCAACGCGCCTGCCAAGCGTGGGGATTATGGCAAACCCCTCCACTATAGTGGAGGAGGCTCATAGTCCAGCAGTGGACTGTAAAGGTCTGTTGATGATCAACTATCAATAGGACGGCTATTAAATTATAGTTGGAGCAGTTGACAACACTATTATTATTATATTATTTACCATGCTTTCAAACTTCTCAAGTGAAGTTTCCAACATTGCCGAGAATATCTCTTAGAGAAAGTCATGTGAGATAAACATAAAAGTATAACAATGACAATTGCGCAATTTAATACTTTAACAATAGAGTTATTAAGTCGTACCTACAACATAACAAATGTGTAATTTTTCAAATGTAATAAGGTCTAATGATGTAAAAGCTGCGTGGATTACCAAAAGTCACTCTTTTGTGTCTTTCACGCAATGAATCAATTTGGATGAAATAAGATAGTGTAGAAATTATGGAAAGGGGGATTGGGGGAGGACATGTTCAGCAGTGGACGTCCTATGGCTGAAATGATAATGAAGATGATAATATGTAATACGTAATACCTATGTGAATGACGTTGCCTTTTGCCGTCATAAAACTTGAAGATAATGAAAAACTAAAATTAAGGAAGGAAAACTGATGATTTTTAAGGAGTTCTAAGGTACGAAATTCGTTTTCCAAATGGAGTAAGGTACCTGAGCAACCGCTCAAAAAATGTTTTTAAACACTGAAAAATTCTATGTTGACCCATATCAAACGATAGAAGAAGAGTGCCTCAATGCCCTCAATCAATTTAGTCTCCAATCAAACTAGTTTTCACTTAATTTACAAGTCAAATACTTAGCTGACGCAATCTGCAACTACCAAATGGACCGCAAAAACCGATAAATAACCAAAGTCACAATCAACAGGCTTCGGCCGTTTATTAAGACATTGTGGAATAGTCATTTAGGTAGATATTACATAATCTGCCTTTGTCTGTCGTTGATTGGAGCCAGTGCAATGCCATGAAGACCTTTTCTTTGAGAACTCTACATTTTCTTAAAACAGTGTATTCTAGCACAGATTTGAGGGTATCTATGGGATTTTACAGTGCTGCATTATAGCTATTGTCTACATAATAATAAGCGTGTGCTTCAAAGGCATAATATTAACATAGAGTACCTACATATAACATTCAGGATTAATTACGTAATTTGAGCTCTTTCTGTTTTTTTTCCCATGGTAAATTTTAAGATACCTACTATTATTATCACACCAAGTGCAGACCTTAATAGTGGATTTTGTGGAGGTGGTTTCCGAGTTCGCTTTGTATGGTATTTTATCTTACAAACAATTAATTAGGTAAGAAGTCTCTAAAAGCAAGCTAAGACCACACGGCATATCATAATAAAAGTTCAATTTTTCAGCTAAGAAATACAAAGATAAAGTTTTTTTTGTAATTTGTTACTTTGTAAGTATTGCAATATGCAACATCACTTTTTCTAGATTTACAAGTCAAAGATCATCTTCACTAATCAGGTTATGCAGTTATTAACGCATATCCGTATTACTACACTCGCAATTCCGCAAATTATATTAATTTATTCGTTGACCCAACTAAGTTATCAAAAAACTCGTTTGACCGTCTAAACGTGACTCGACCTAATGGTATGGTCTCTATGATCACGTACGGTACCTGTAGCTCCATCAAAATGTAGTAACAGTAGTAAATGTGATACACGCATACTGTTAATGCATTACTAATGTATGAATGATACTAGTAATATTATGTAGATTATGTAGGTATATAATTATGTAAGCATGTTTGTATGTAGGAGTCATTGGATTTTACATATTATTAGTCAGTATAGCATGGCTAATGAAGGTTTTTTGAAAGACTCCTGAAAACTAAGATCCATAAGGTTTTACACTCATTTCTGGAGTAGATAGATAGAACTATCGCTTTTTACAAAAATAAACAAAAGATACCTCGGAGTCATCAATCATAAGTCCTGCCTGAAACACTGTGACTGGGGCCTCTTATGGAGGCTTACGCTTCCTCCCCCACTCATGTCTTAGGACGCTACAGGGACCACTTTAGGCTTTTAAAAACCAGGTATCAGGTAACCCACCCTGTAGACTTTCAGTCAGTTCTCATCACTACTCAAAAACCTGTCTTCTCCAACCCCTGAGTAAGTACGTAGAAATGCAACTTTGTTTGCAAAGTTGTTCAGATGACGATTCATGATGCTAACAGACAACCGGATTGCTTAAATGGCAAAGTGTGGCTGTACTACAGCCACACTTTGCCATTTAAGCAATCCGGTTGTCTGTTTAATTTTATGCAGTAGGATAGTACAGCCGCTGTACTATCCTACTGCATAAAATTAAAAATGTAATTTACATAATTTTCTCACGATCTAGGTCGAAATGACCTGATTATGCCATCTGATACTGATCCATCAACAATACACACATTCTTCGGCTGACAGCCAAAAGTTTGGAGATAAGTGCGAGCGGCCATCTTATGTAACGGTTGAGTAATAATATCTCATAATATATTTGCCACTTAATGTGTCTGTGTCGGTTATTGTTGACTTTCTAATAAGCCGAAACGCGAGGCTTTGTTTTTGTTACTTTTCTGAAAAAAAAAATCAATGTGTACCTATTAGGTATTTTAAAAGGAATACAACAACAGTTATTGAACAACGAATTTATTGCATTATCCACCAGCAAATTCCTCGGGTTTGGGCATAAGAGCGCGCACTCGTGCGCACCTGTCTTTATCAATGTTTAAACTCTTCCGTTTGCAAGCGATCTCCTTCTCCAGCTCCCCTCTATACTTCATTAACTCCGATCTCACGGTTTCTGCTTCTCTAGTCTTATCATTCAGGGACTCACAAGTCTCTTTTATAAATTTAGCTTCAGCTATCAAATTGTATTGCGCATCATCTCTACAGTTTTCAACTCCTGGCCTTTCATAGTTCCTACCGTGAAGCCTGGTCATAACTAATCTGGCTCTATCATTACTCTTTCTCAGAGAATCCTTGAGGTAGTCAATAAGGTTCTCAACATTGGCTATGGTTTGCAAGTTATCCTTCAAGTTTTCTTCCAACTTTTCACACAGTTCTTCTGTAGCTGCAACAGTTTCAGCCAACGCCGCATTCGTTCTGTCAGCCTGCAACTTCATGTCCCGACTTCCATTGACTATTGTACTCGATAAAAATTGTCGAAGCTTTGCAGATTTGTCCCTGACCTCGTCGCAGTTCCTTATACTCTCTCTGCAGTAATGTTCCCAGTAGTCATACGTCGACGCGTTTTCAGGCCACCTCGCCACACCAGGGTGATTTAGCAATAGGTTGGATTCAGGAGTCAAAGTCAGGTTCTTTCTATCCAACTTCAAACTCACCATCTTGTCACTCCAGTCGAATTCTAGCGCTGACTTCGCGGATTTGTTCATACACATCTGAGTTTCAACTTCTGCTAACGTGGTGTTAAAAACTCGTCTGATCTCTCCCACGATAGCGACCTCCTTAATCAGTTCCTGTTCCGCATCATCTCTGACCAAATCTGGTTCGTAACGATGCGTCCTCAACTCCAGACACTCGCGAGAGATCATTTCAGGCAAGTTCAATATCCTGCAAGCGCCCTTGAGCCGGGCTCTCTCGTCGTCAAGAACATCAATCTCTTTAATCATCGCATCAAGAGCTTTCTCGACTTCTTTCTTCCAGCGCGCCAGTTCTTTGACTCGATAATCCAATTTCTTGTTCGTCTCCGCCTGCTTGTTGTCCATAGCGTTAAAAGCATCCGAGATATCTTTGCGCGTTTTCGCTTCAACGGCCTTAGCTTTATCAGTGGCTCGAGGCGTGAGGACAAACTCGTTGTGCTTCCTCCACTCCCCAGTGGAGTATCTTGTGATGGAGTATTTGTCGACAACCGGTCGTACTCCAGTCATGCCTGCTTGTGGAGTCCAGTCGACGTGACCGGCAGCCCAGGGCCCTATAGGACCCATGCCTAAGATATCTCCACTGGTGCTGTCGGTCGGCTGTGGGAGATACCTTGGTGGCGCTCCAGGGGGATATACCTTCGGTTCTGGTGGCCTGATGCATCCTGGGACGTACGGGGATGCATGAGGATTCTCAGGACCTCTAGAGGCACCAGCTGCGGGGTATAACTTCTCCTCTTCCGGAGGTTTTGCTGTGGCTGGACATATGTCGGGACAGGTCAAATTTTGCGCCATATTGACGAGAATTTGGGTGGATTCACGGGGTTATTACATAAAAAGTTATGAAAATTAAAAATTTTAATCCTACATTCATATTGTCAAAAGACAAAATAAGTGTATCAAATTAGTGCCAGCTGTCTAAATTTAATTTTTATTTGTCTCTATGGTTAGTTGAAACGAAAGCGGTTTAGCAAAGCTGTAATAATAAGGTTGACTATATTTTGGAAAATGCAATGATTTGAAGATTCCAACTCTACGTTCTACCAAACAGGAATGAAAATGATTTCAATTTCATCTGCAGGTGACTAAATACCTAACGTAAAATATTCTAAACACTCTGCTGACTCCATTCTAGTTGTAAGCCTGGGGCTATTCTCACTTGCCTCACTGCTGGGTTAAGCAATCGCATCACTCCTCTCCATGGGACCCTGCATTGTTTTCGATCCAACAGAAAGGTCACTGTAACTAACAGTGTTCGCCGTGGGAGCTTACAAATGATGCGATTGTTCGACATCTCGCTTTTTGTGGAATTATAACTAAGTTCCTCTATTCCGGGACTGGCTGATGTTTAGTGCACTTTTTTGATTAATTGATCGTGTTTGTTTGCACTAATGAGTGGTGGAAACTTGAAAGGAAGCGATGCGTCTTCTATTGTCAGGAAACACTCGTCAACACTATGCGTGGGTGGTTTCGTAAAGAAATAAAAGTAAGTATCGAGGCAATTTTCTAGATCTATCGGCCGTGTCGAATATTGTAAAAGAATAAACCTTTCGGCTTTTTAAATGCGATAATAACTATCTATCGGGTGCCTTTTCACACTTTATAGGTACCACTGCACGGATCCTGATGGATAGAAAATAGGGTAAAAGAGACAGTTTGAGACCCAGGGAAAAACGTACCTAGTCTTTAATTTTCATTCCAGTTTATTCCAGAGACGTCGCAATTTTTTGGTCACAAGCCGATATTCAATGGGTAAAACCGCAGGCAAAAGCTAGATCCAAAATAATCCTCTGAATCTTAACCTCTTCAACTTTAGACAGCAATAATACTTTCATGATGCTCACCACCAAGTTACATAAGTGTTGAAAGACGAACAAAACAATATTTAGTGAAAGGCCTACCGCGATGTGGGTTCAGGACCTCAAATCTATTTGATAACAGTAAAGTGTGTTTGGTTTACGCAATAAAATGAGCATGTTTATGTTACTCCTTNTACTTCTACAAGCAATAAAGAAACTTTACATTATTATAGACATCGAAAGTAGGTTTATGCTATGTTTTATTAAAGTCCACGCGGGGGAAATGTCAGAAACAAGTAATAGAATTAAAGTGCCAAATTCATACGCACGATAGTCATCAGTAAAATAGAAGATCGTGTAAAAAAGAAGGCAGCACCTACTCTTAGGTACACTACACCTACCTAATTGGATTACTTATGTATGACTGTTACTTGAGAACGACATCTGTTGCACTACTATTATATGAAAAAGTCCGTACATTAGCAAATATCAAGCCCAAAGACAGTTGTAAACCTTATTTTCAAAAGTACAAAATTCTACCCTTGCCTTGTATCTACATTTTAAATATTTGTAAATTTGTCCGCTCCCACTTTGAGTTTTTTACCAAACGCGAAGAATCATGTCCACAATATAATTTGAGAAATAAAAATAAATTAAAAATACCAACCATCCGCCTAAATTTATCTTCTTCAAGCACATACAATATGGCCATAAAAATATACATAAGTATAACAAATTGCCCGATCATTTATTAAAAGAAAATAATAATAGTAAATTCATAACAGGACTAAAAAAGCTACTAACTACGAAATGCTATTACACCATAAAAGAATATTTATTAGACGATAAAATTCATTAGCGATGTACCTAAACTATAATTTTCTATCTATAAAAAGAAGCCTCCTCTCTTATAAATTTTTAGTTTGCAGCGCCCAACAGGGTCCTTAATGATCTCCAAATATAACTATGTAACACCTAAATGTACTACATATTAAGGAAGCAATAAACGTATTGAGTATTGAGTGTTGTAGTTACGCGTACAGAGAACAGAAATGAAACAAAGATGTGTAACTTTAAATAAAATTTACATCCCAATGACACGACAATAGAAAGTATTTAAATTAGAAAACAATCTGCCGTTGTATTGCCAATTTTGTTTTGCATTTTACATGTACGAGAAAATTTCTCTAACAGTTTCTTTACATTTAGTGTTTAGTTCTAATAGCCAGCCAATTCTGAAGCGGTGGGATAGTGAGAGCGAACCATTCCGCATCTCTCTCTGTCAATATTCAAAGTTTTCCTCTTAGACGCAATATCCTTTTCTAGGGCAATCCTTTTCTTCAGCAAATCTGATCTCACGCGCTCAGCGTTGTTTAACTGCCCAAGAAGAGAAGTAACAGTTTCGTGTATCTTTTTTACTTCTTCAATCAGGCCCAAATGAGGCTGATCACGAACGCTTTCTCCATGAGGTCGCCAGTTGTTTCTGTTATCCAACCTCGTTTGAGTCAGCTTCATAGCAGCATCCATTTTCCTGATGGAACTCTTCAAATCGTCAATCAGGGCTTCCATATCAGCTATTCTTTGCAAAGTGTTCCTTAAAGTCTCTTCCAATTTCGTACACAACTCCTGTGTGATCGCTACAGTTTCAGCTAAAGCCATGTCAGTCCTATCTGCCTGGTTCCTCAGTTTTCTGCCACCGTTGACAAGAATGGCGTTCAAACTGCCTCTTAAATCAGCTGACTTCTGTCTGGCAGCTTCACAGTTCTGGACATTTTCTCTACAGAAGAACTCCCAATACTCTAAAGGCGCTGTGTAATCTCCAAACCTTGTAGCACCTGGTCTGAACATGATAGTATTGGATTTAGGGGTCAACCCCAAGTTGATAGCTTCAGTATTGTAAGCCATAGCTTTGTCACACCAGTCGTATTCAATCCTGTGTTTAGCAGCTTTGTTTATAGCCATTTGCGCTTCGATTTCATCCAAAGTATTTTTCAGTGTTTGTTTTACTTCGCTGACAAGCTCCATTTCTTTGATCAGCTCTTGTTCAGCAAGATCTGCTACTAAGTCCGGTTGGAATCTGTTCGAGCGGAGATCGAGACACTCTTTGGAGATCGATACAGGTAACATGAGGACTCGAGACGCGCCTTTCAAGCGTTGTCTTTCGATTTCAAGCTGTTCCACTTCATCGGTGATGGCTTGACACGCTTTCTCGACTTCGACTTTCCACCTGAAGATGTCCCTAGCCTTCTGTTTCAGTCTCTTCGTATTTTCGCTCTGCTGTTTGTCTATATTCCCGAACGCTTGCATCATTGAGGTCTTAGCATTGTAGTCGACGATGTTAGACTCAGTTATGACTTCAGGGTCCAAGACACTCTCGTTGTGCTTCCTCCATTCGCTTAAAGAGTATCTGCTGATGGAGTATTTATTGACCCCTGGTCTGGTTCCAGTCATGCCTCCTAGTGGAGTCCAGTCTACTTTCCCGTCTTGTCCTGGCTTGAGATTGGGGAGGTATTCTTCCCCTGAAGGTGGGGGTCTGGTCGACTCCTGTTCTTCTGGCGCTTGAGCAGCTGGGCCAGCTTCAGCAGCAGCTGCTTTGGCGTCTTCAGCTTCTTTCATTTCTTCCTGGACCTTCTCAGGACTTTTTGCTGCCTTTTTAAAGGCGCCGATGTCATGGCACACTTTGGGGCATTTATCTGGCTCAGGGAACGAAGTCATGTTTGCAGATTTTTAAGCGATAACCAAAACTATAACAGCCAAATTGCTAATGTAAATGCTCTAAAAATTAACTTATTTTCTAAAAAAATGTGGACAAATAAATTGACAGAAACCGTCAAATCAGAAATATTTTTTGACGCATCCAATCAACCAGTTTGGGGTTAATCGCCACGAAGGTCGAAAGTTTTTATCCATCCTTTTTAAATTAATCCCGAAATACAGCCCCTACATTTCAAAGTTTCACAAGGTCAGTCAACTTCAGCAAAATTTTTTCAACTCATGTTGACAGACGATTAATGTGGTTCACTTTCTAATGGCACTGGTCATTTCACATCCTGGCGACGTTTTTATTGCCCGAGTTTCTGCTAAATTACTACTACAAACATAACACAATCTTATGCATTTTATGAACACTTTGGTTTCACTTTAAACCGGTCAAAAATATGCATAATAATAATAATATTGTATAAGTTATCACTGACGAGAGTGTTTACTCACTCTATCTTGTAGTCACTTTTCGGGAAAAGTTAATTAATTTAAAGTTAAAGGCGGGAAAAGTTTCCCGCCTAAGATAAGGTAAGGAATCCAGTTTTGGTCACTAACTAATCTTCCTTTGCAACCATTTACGATATTAAAAAGAAATCGTTTGGTGGTAAAATCTTTTGTGAACACTAATTACTGGGTTATTCTGTGCCTAAAAGCGAATATAAAACCAAAATGGAGTATAGTGGAGCTACTTATTGTAATATAAATTTAATGAATAGTGCACAATATTTAATAACTGTTAACTAAACTAAGATTAATCCGTGAAATTGTAGGCGATGTGTATCGAGATCAAATCTGTCATTATTATATCACACTTAGCTTTTACTTTTAACGTCGCAGCATTATAAAAGAATTCACAAACGCGCGTGCTAAACAAGATCTATGAATGATATAATTTTGATACATTCTCATTATTTAATATTTAAAGCTATGCCGATAAAGGCAACATAATGGCGCTACAATTGCATTGTAATAAACGCTTGTGTATTTTTAGAAAGGCAAAATTGACCTTGCTCTGATCCGTTTTTAATAAATTCCCATCTTTATGTTCAAAAACGACTGTACCAATATTTTATTTGTATCTAAGCGGCAACAACCTTAACTGACCATTTTAGCTAGACGCAACAATGTAGAGAAAAAATCTTATTGAGAGAACTAAGATTTTGAAGGATAAATAGTTTAGAGTAACTAGCTAGGTATATTAAAATGTCATCACGTGCCTTATTTGGTATTTGTTGTTGACCCAAATGGTAGAGAGAGGAATATATTTTAGGACTTATTCAAGACAAGCGTCTACTTGGTGTCCTTTTATTTATTTCTGCCCAAAGAATCATTACTGTACAAACTTAAGTTAAAAAGGAAAGGAACTATAACGTTTCTAGATCAAGATCCAACATTAGTATCAATTATATCTGGGAAATCTTCGTTCGTGTCTCTCTTCGCATTTCATAATTAGCATGTTACTGCCTTATGAATGTGATGTACCTACCTACCTACAGAGAATGTAGTTCACTATTGTACGTGCTCGCGAGGATTTTTCCGGTCACGTAGCGGTTTTGTGAACTCCTCACAAACTTCATGAGGTCATACTCGTATGTTTGCAGGCTTCATTTTTATCTAATCGTCCATCGTTCCAGTTCCGACAAATGTCAATGCTGAGCTATTGCCTTTATAGAGTATTTACATACAATAGCACGCAAAAGTGCTCCGTTTATTATGTTCAGGATGGAAGTCAATCAATCGAGACTAATGGTAGCCGTTGAATTTTAATAGCCTAGTCAATATGAATCAGGCGTTTTAATGACCGGTGTTTAAGTTATACAGAGAGTTTATTAATTACATGAAACGTCTAGTTAACTGAAATTAACTGTCTTATTAAATGAAATGTGATCCGAGGTTTAGAGAGTAAAAAACGGCTTCAGAAGGTAAATGGACGTTTGTAAAATAAATCAAAGAGAATTTGTACAGGATTTAGGAGAAGCTGGTCCCATTAGAGACGTGTGTATTGTCACACTGCAATATAACACGTGCTTCTCAATTTACTCAACCAGTTTCATGTGCCAAATTCGTAATTACTAATTACCCAATAAAAATGTCACCGTAGGCTTGTAGTTGCAGTATTGCACACTTAACGAGAGTTGCTTGCAGCCGTTTTGCTTTTTCGAATTCTTGTTGCATGACAGAGATGTTTCACCGGTTTTGCTGACGTGATTTCTCGCTTGTTACTCATTCTACTTAGTTGGGCTGGAATGTGCCGGGTTTAGAATTTGAGAAACTACTTCTGCTCATGAGCTTCCAAGAAAAGTATTCGAGAGTTTAAATTATTTAACTGAATCATTACCAGTTCCGTAATGTATTACAAAATTATATCTTAAACGATAGAATGTAAAACTAGGTGATTATTAAGTTGTTAGAAATAATTAAATCTGTAATAATGTTACACAAGTTGTTGAAACTAGTTATCAGTGCGTTAATAATTATAGTGTTCTGTTTTTTGAGACGTTTTTTCAATTTCATGCTCGATTTTTAAACGGAAATAGTTGGTAATTAAGAAAAGAGTTACATTTTCTTTTTAACTTTAATCGCCAGAACCGAGAGATAATAAGAATTTGGTTTGATAGCACATGAATATGGTCCGAATATGACCTCGACTTTTCAATCGATTACTATCTTTAGGATCAACACCATACAGGTCATTATGAACTTTGATGGTGTGTTACTTACGGCGATAGCATCTGCTGCTCCTCGCCGGATGTTTAAGAGGCTTTGCACCTGTTTTCTTTTCTAAAGTACTAGTCGATTTAGTATCGAGGTTCTGCGTAAGGCACTCGTTTGACTGGCAATACTTAGCAAGGTCAATTTGAGCTTTTAGCAGTAAAACTTTCCCTTTGGTTGAAGTATCGATTGCAGATTGTAATAAACAAAGACAAATAAGTGTATGTCTTCCTTTACAGAAATGGTAGTCAGGTACTACTGTTCTATGGCATCCAATTCAAGTTGACTGGATTTTTATGTATGCTATTATGAGAGGTGTTCTTTGGCATTTCTGAAAATTATCGCAAAAGCGTGGATCTTACTTGTGAATGATGATACTCACCAGATAAAAGCTGCAACCATCCACAGATATGGAACACCGTCGTCGATTGACAAAAGAAGAATAACAGCATCGCACAGATCGTAAACAAGGCCAATGCGACCGCTATGCCCACTAACACAGTCGCAATCTTAAACACCAGTCCATTTATCGAGAAAAACTCATCGAGTCTTCCTTTACAGTCCTCAATAGCTTCATCAGACTTGCAAACTTGCCACAAACCGAACTTCCTTGGATACTCAGTCTCTAAATCACCAATCCATTCAGGTGTCACGAACGCGACAACGCTTATGATCGCGTAGCAAATCGTAAATATCGCCCAGAGCACTCCGATAGCTTTCGAATTACGGACATAGTTGGTCGCGTATAAATGTGACGAATCCACGTACTCGATTTTCGAACCCATCTTGACGGTATCCGGGTGTAAATTTGACTTTTTCGGGCACTTCACAAAAACAAACAACACTTTATTGGTAGCACATTTTCGCGGAAAGTTTTAATGTCACATGGGGTGTTATAACTTGGAAGGTTGGCGACAAATAGTTCCATTCATGTCTCAAAGGAAAAGTATTATTGCCAACTACTCGAGGACGCGAGAAACACGACACGACACTCAAGCCCGCACAACCTCTCGCCGCACGCCATTCGGTCGAGTGAGGGGGAGTGGGGATAAGTAATGAAGCTACAAGTTTGACCTATTGCACGCTACCTAGCACCTTCTTATTCTACTTGAATTCGTTTCATTGCGTCAGCTGTTTCCTTTTTGTTAACCACAAGTCTAATTGCATTTTATTGGACATTACAACCATTTTTTGCATGTTCTTGTTAATTTTTAAGAGTAGATACCTACTGGATTATAAATAAACGTTGCACAGCAAAGTGAATCAAGTAAACAACATTAACAACTAGTACAATCTAGTGGTTGGAATGCGCATTAAACGCGTAAGCTGTAAGCGCCATCTACAGTTACTTAATAACATTAAACCTTACCTTTGTTTGGTTTGCCACTGACGACGATAGGATCATTTACCCTGCTATTCAAAAGCATCATCTACATAGTTCAACGTAATACAGACACGTTGTACACGCCAAATATGTTCCAAGTTATTTCAATTAAAGCGTTTTTCGTAAGCGTGAATTTGAATTTTCTTTTCAAATACATACTTAAAAAACTTTAGTTGTATTTTTTATTGACGAAATTATAAAAATATGTAATGTGCATCTGAAAATGCATAGAACGGAACGCATTTGATGAACTTCATTTGTGAAGCACGTCAATTTCAACTTTAATTTCAAAGGCGTAGAGGTGATTTTAGAAAAAAATATATGGGCATTATTGACAGCTGAGACAACACACTTGCTTGTCAAACTTTCAATTTTATTCGGATTTGCGATTGTATGGCACGACGTTTTGCTTGTGCGTGTCTATAAAATTGAATATCTCATCTATTTTCCTAGAAAATAACGATGATTAATATATCGGCTAACTACAGTGGCAGTTATTGTGGTTTACCATTGGAATAAATTGGTATAAAATGTCTGCAAAAGACAAGTGGGTACGCCGGTTCTCGGTGGACGAAACCTCCAAACACAAGAATGGATTCACTATTTACAAGATTACTTCAGTTGTGAGTACCTCCAATTAATAATTTAAACCTTTGTTTAATTGCATTAACGTTCAATCGCGAAACGGCTGAAAAAAGTCAACAGGAAGTCGACATTTATAAATGTATATTTTTACGCTTATCCTTTATTTATTCCTTGATAACGAGCTCAAATTGGAGTTTCCAATGTGTATATAGAACCAATTTTATTTATCCTGCTTAAACTCTACCGATAAGAAAGTACTACTGTCCATTGTCTACTGACCAATGGGTTTTTGTAGTTGTGTAATATTTTGCAATTCTATCTATAGTGAAGCTGATTAAACATTGAAATTTTCTAAGGATATGCAGTATTATGTGCCCATGTCTGTTATTAATATTTAACTTTATAATGAGGGTATGAGGACTATGAACATGAATTCGAATTAGTTACAACTGTATAAAATAAATCTGAACGGGACAGTCAATCCCAAAAAAAGATATCTGTGGTCATATTATAATTACTGTTCTTTTGGTGTAGATATTTTGCAGTGTGCAAATTGCATACTTCTTTAGATATTTATTTTCTACATTCTAAACCTCAGAGTCCAATTAGAAAAGTATTAATTATTTATGTTCTTCTCGGTGAAAGAAACTAGAGTGAAAGTACAAAGAATATTTTTTGTTTCATTTTATTTTGCTTTCCCTGATACTTAATAAGAAATAGAAAAAATATTGACTCAGTAGTTAATACTTAAATAATAAGACTTTCTTATTAACTACTAATCGGAGTGAGTCACATTTATTTGATTCTAATCAATCCTAATGATGATTCTAATTAATTAAACATGCAGCATCCTCTCCTCTTTCATCGCAGACCATTTATTTTAGTAAATTGTTTTACTTTGGGTGGATTCGACCAAACGAGTAAATATTAATCTCAGAATAAATCGTCAGTGTTGACATATTTCCCATACTGAAACTGTCAATGTGCCAGTTATACCAGGAGTTGTTCCCGGATAAAAGTTTGGTCGAATCAGGTCTTAGCAGAACAAATTTTGGAGTTTGATCCATGACTTTCTTGCTGATAACATATTGCTCTCTCTTTCTCTCTTTATTCTCTCTCTTTCACACAGCTCAAAAGCCACTAAATGCACTCAATAGATTAATTCAATTGTAACAATTATACTTCAGTTTTAATTACTGCTTGTGGTTTGTTTGACATTGAAGTTTGTAATTAATATTATACCACTAAAACCGCACAGCATGGTCAATGAAACGTCAAGTTAATATAGCATCTTACTTAGTTGTAATAGGTAATATTTTGCATTAAAAATTATAGTCTTATTTGCTGATGACTGTACAACAAGTTAAAAAGTATTTTTACAATAGAGAAAAAATTATCCTTGAATGAATCATAAGTGATACATTTCGAGAATGTTAAATCTGTATGAGGATAACTTACATAATTATTATTGTTGATCCAATTCCTTCGTTCTACCTACTACATATTATCTTATTTATCATCTAACAATCATATTATTATGAATCGGTCAGTCCAGTCCACACTAAGCAAATATTTAGCTTTGCTTTTTTCTAAATTTACACTGTTGAAACCCGGGCAGTTACATAGGTCTCTTATCATGAATGAATCATTATGAAATAGATATTTATGTAGTGTACTTTTCTATTTATAGAATGCAATTAGTCGTAAGAAAGTATTTTGAAACAATTTACATAGTAACAGCAAATAAATTCCTAATTAAAACTTTATTGACACACTAACAACAACAATAAATTAAGCTAAGTACCTAAACAAGTAAATATGTATCAAAGGGTGCTCGCTTAATTTTAATCAGGTCTTCATAAATATTTTTTGGTTTTTCTGGTTTTCAGCGGGAAGTCCATTCACTGTTATACTTCCTTTCAGCCAATGACGACAAAATTAACCTACAATTCCTATTCCAGCTGTTCCCTATAGAGTCACCCGAAGCTGTGAGCGTGGTGTCGGTATGGAAGCGCTACAGCGACGTGCAGCAGCTGCATAAAAGTATGCGATCGCTGCACGCCGGCCTGCGGCTCCGAGGGACGTTCCCGCCACTGCAGAGGCATAGCTACTTCAAGCGCTTTCAGCAGGAGGTAAGAAAGTGGCAGAATAGAAGTGATTGCGTCACATTTTGTGACAACATATTGAGCTACTCAGATACACTGCTTATGGAGGTACATAGTAGTTACATTCATAAGAGCATGCGATCGCTGCACGCCGGCCTGCGCCTCCGAGGGACGTTCCCGCCACTGCAGAGGCATAGTTACTTCAAGCGCTTTCAGCAAGAGGTGAGAAATTGGCAGAATAGAAGTGATTGTGTCACATTGTGTGACATATTCAGCCAGTTAGATACATGGCTTAGAGGAGTATATTATCGCTGCACGCCGGCCTGCGGCTCCGAGGGACATTCCCACCACTGCAGAGGCACAGTTACTTCAAGCGGTTTCAGCAAGAGGTGAGAAATTGGCAGAATAGAAGTGATTGTGTCACATTGTGTGACATATTCAGCCAGTTAGACACATGGCTTAGAGGAGTATTATAGTAGTTGCATAAAACATGCGATCGCTGCACGCCGGCCTGCGGCTCCGAGGCACGTTCCCGCCACTGCAGAGGCATAGCTACTTCAAACGGTTTCAGCAAGAGGTAAATGGGACTATTCCATCTCGTTCCCACCGCTGCAATTCCTGTGTAGCCAGGATCGGGCACTCCAGGATCAGGGGCACATAGCTCGTAGAGACGATGGCCGTTGGGTCAGAAAAGTTCTCGAGTGGCGACCACGGGCTGGAAGACGTAGCGTGGGCAGGCCTCCTACTAGGTGGACCGACGATCTGGTAAAGGTCGCGGGAAGAGCCTGGATGCGGGCAGCGCAGGACCGTGCATTGTGGAAAACCTTGGAGGAGGCCTTTGTCCAGCAGTGGACGTCATTTGGCTGAAAGGAACAGGATCTACAGCTTGACCGCCAATAAAAACCCAATCAGTGAAGGCACAGTCTTTTTGTAGAGGCACAACTACTTTTAGGGGTTCCAGCAAAAGGTTAAATGGCAGAATGGACTACAGAGATAAGTGACTGTGTGGCACATTCCAGCTATGGGACAGCAAGGTTGCAGCACTTGCAGCAGCATGGATGCCAAGTATGTGACTTACGTCCATCCACTTAAACAACTTATAATTATAACTCATTTATTTTTGTAAATAGGCTTTTAAAAAGCACTTTTACAGGTTGTATTGTATACAGTACTAGATATAGGCGCCCAATCTGGAAATCTTTGGGGGAGCCCTATGTTCAGCGGTGGACGTCATTTGGCTGAAACAAACGAACTAATTATTATATTTGTCTGCGACGTTGATGCCTGTCCATCATAATGAATTCAAGATGAAATTACGTCCTGCTACAGTCGGCACCGCACCGTTTACGCTCACTTTCACCGCTAATTGGTAATTAATGTAAATGTTCCGTTTCAGGTGATAGAGGAACGCGCGAAGACCACCAAGACATTGTTGGAGTTCGTCGCTGAACACAAGCTACTGTTCACCAGTACGGACTTTGTTAATTTTCTGCAGGTAATTTTGATTTTTAATTAATTTTTTTGCTTATTTCACTGACGCTTATTTAACTGAGTGTAAATTTTCGCAAAAACTTTTTTAATTACTATGTTAATTTCAAATTAAGGTCATATTTTATTAAAGAAAATTCTTCTTTTAGTTCTTTGTTGTTATTGTTAAATACTTTTATAGTGATTATTTTAGAACAAGATGGAGCTGTGTATGTCTAAAATTACATTATTTACTTTTCAAAATTAATCATAATAGTGCATATTTGAAGAATACTGATGTTGCCAATGTTGAATGTAGAAACAATGCATGATTTGGTTTTAGGAACCACGATTTCGCCAATGTTTCGACAAAGTTACAGTACATAAATAAACATTGAGTGATTTTATTTTAGAGGAATTTAATTCTGATTTGAAGATTACTTGAGGGTAAGCCTAGGCGCAGACCACCGATTTTAATTGACGGATAGTTGGGTCGGGCTGTTGATCAGTATGGAGATGTATGAAAGTGCGCACATTACACCGATTTGGTATCGGCCGATTCTTCATACAAATTAGAATCGGGCCTAACTATTGGTCAACTAAAAGTAAGAGGCACTAATTTACTACCTCACTTTCACAGACAGGCTACCCCGAACCGGAGCCCCAAGCTGGAAGCGTCATCAACGCGATCAGGTCCTCACTCCACCTGCCCATCGAGGAGACGCCACCTTTGGAGTACCAGACCGACGATGATGATGCCAGGAGCCCTGCACATAGTGGTGATACTATTTCTTTTTGTTTAGGCTTGGCATATAGGTCGCACGACGAGAGTTGAGACTTGAGACCGTGAACACAAGCAAAGATTTGTATTATTTTGTATGATGCTTGCAGACATTTAGCCTAGGCGCAGACCAGCAACTTTTAGTTGGCCGATAATTATATTGGGCCCGATTTTAATTTTTATAAAGAATCGGCCGATACCAAATCGGTGTAGTGTGCGCATTCATACATGCCCAATGGGCATTGCCCATACTGATTAACAGCCCGACCCAACTATCGGCCAACTAAATGTCGGTGGTCTGAGCCTAGGCTTAACAAGAGCGAGGTCGCTAATGTATTTGATATTTGAACTTGAATGTGTAATGTGTAGATGTTTGTGTTCTGTATTCAAATATTACATCAGTAAAGAGCGAGCTATACCAGGCCTGTTCATCTCCGCGAGTTTACATCGAAAACAAAACACGCACGATGGCCCACCTACAGGATACTATGCGACAAGGCCTCACATACGAGCGAACATTGATTCACGCACGCGTGTTCTTGTGTATGATAGAAGAAAATAAAGAAAATGGTGTACTAAATACTGTGCAGTATTTAACTGCCTAAATAATAATAAAACACATAATGTATTTTTTTAAGTTGCCTCAAGACACTGAGAGGTAAATAAGTAGTTAATAATATTATTCATGATAATTCATGCTAAATCATGTATTTCCTCCGCCATTTTCCGCAGTTTGGCACCTCACGTCACATCATTTTACCGAAGTCAGCCCTATAGGTGCCTATAGCTTCGGCGCAGTGCCGATCACTGACGTTTGTCAACAAAATGGTGCTAGACTCTTGAGACAGGCCAAATTACACCATATTGTTAATGACATTTTTTTAAATACCTTCGCGAAGTAAAACTTCTGTACGTAGTACTTATTATTATTCTGTGGCTATACTGAAAATGAGATGCGGTTTCATAAGATGCTCTAGTTTCATTATTTCTACTGGTCATATGTTACAATCTTTACTTTTATGAGCTCATTTAAATTTTAAATGAATTGGTGGGTTACTTAAATATTTTTTTCTTTTCGTTTCTAAGTTTCGGACCAAGTTTTCCTTATTTCTACGTTGCAAAGTCCAACGCAAAAGTTTAAAAGTAATCAAGTTTCCTTAAATAAAATGAAAACAGGTTTATAAATCATTCTGTTTAGAATAAAGATACTATACCTACTTACACTTTTTGAATTTGTATTTTTGGCGTCATTAGAAACTACCTAAGGTAATTCTTGAATGTTATTATGTTCTTGTCTTTAATATACCTTTTGTTTTCAACTTCCAGCGAGGCCACAGCAAGCGCCACAGGCCACAGACCAGCTATCCATAGACGAAACAGACTTCATATCCCAAATACCGATATACGAAGCAGCCGACGTCGAAATCCGTCAGTCCCCAGACCAAAAACTATCCGCAGCTGATAGTTTCGAGTCAATAAACTCTTTGGACAGCATAAACAGCGACCTCTATGACGAACTAAGCAAAGTGACCATAGACAAACCGAGGCCGTGCGTCAGAAAGAATGTCTTGCCAGATTTGATCCTTTTTGACGCACCATCGACTTCTACGTTTGAAGATTACCACACTATGCCCAGAAGTGGCAACACAGATTCGGAGACTACGTCTCTAGCGTCGAACGTCTATGGTTCGATGACGTCAGTGAATGAGATTGAAAGACGAAGCAGCTCGAAGTTGTCTTTGTACAGCAAACGGAGTGTGCTGTCTCTTTCTAACGTGGAGTGTAAGACGAAGACGGAAGATAGTTACGTGTTTGAAGCGGGTTATATGCTGAATTTGGCGGCGAGGTGTGAGAATATGGGAGACTTCCAAAGGGCATTCGAGTGTTACAAGTCTGGTATAGAGAAGATGCTGATTGGTGTTCAAAGTGAGTACATATTTTTTGTATTATGACGTTTTTATAATGACATTTCCATACTAAATGTCAATTTAAACAAGTGATCAACGCACAATAGTTAAAAATAAAAATACCCATCCCAAACCCATCAGACTAAACAAATACAGTGTGAGTCATAGCAAATGTTGTGATAGGGATAGAGACATGCGATTTTTGGTTTTACAAAAGTAATACGATAGGGGCATTTTTTGGAGAAATTTATCAAATAACCAAAAAAAAACACGAATTTAAAAGCAGATTTTTTTCAATAAGTTTTTTTTTTAAATTATTTGTTGGCATTTTTTGAGTATTTTATGTATTTTTTTAGTATTGCCTATTATTTAGCATTATTACTGTTTTTATTTTATCAAGATATACCTCTTAGTTTAAAAGTTATTACGGATTATTAAAGTTTTACAATAAGTAACCGGAAGAAAAAAAAATCTATAAAAAAGTAAAAAAAAAAATATATTGACCTCTTTTTTGTCGATAACAATAGGTCTAGTTTCACCTATTTTCATATGTGCACTTTATCGTGACTCACACTGTATACTTGTGGCCAAAATATTGACTTCTCCGTATTGAAGAAGTTAGTAAACTGAACTGTTTTGACCCATTTCTCAAAATGACATCCAGAGTTGACACAATTTATATTACGTTCGAAGAAATTCTACATCAGTGTCCCTAAAACTGAACCACAACCTCTGATTCATAAGATTCAAATTCGCCTACCCCTTGAAACTTGTCAAATATGAAGCCATAAAGATGTGAATGGTGAAATCTGACAAACTCAAGTACATAATGTATTTCAAACATTGTTTTAGTGCTTGTAAAACAGTGATTCATCGATAGATCTCGGCTGGATATCGTAGGGTCGTGATAAATATTGATAACATGTCGATAACGTATTATCAGCTTCTAGGGCTGTGGCTTGACTTTAAGCGGAAAACTAGTACGACGAGTCTATTCCCACCTGTCGTTCCCACCGCTGCAACTCCTGTGTAGCCAGGATCTACAGCTTGACCGCCAATAAAAAACCAACCAGTCAAAACAGTACGAGTATACTTAGGTACTTACTTCTCTAAAATTAACACCTCATTATTACTCCAAAAACTCAAATACTTTTAGTGTTTTTAAAATAGACCTGTTTTTAATATTTAAAAATTAATTACGTTTTGGTACTTAAAAATTCAGTGAACCAGTGACGTCACAGCTTTCTGTAGTCAGGCATACTAAATGTGTAAGAAAATTATTTTTATGGAAATAACTAATTTTAATTTAAAGCCATTCATTACTTATACTAATGTAGAAACGACTACTTGTTGTTTAATTACTCGCCTAATAAAAACTACATTTGGAAGAATCAAAACATACTACTCAAAATAAAAAGAAACAAGGAAGGAAGCATTTCCGTAGTACAAGGTCTCAAACAAAACAGCGTATTCTTCCGCCAACATTGTTCATACAAAAAAATGCTTTTGTCTGACAACAAAATATCAGTCGACGTGTATCTGAAGTCTCTATTTGGAACTAGTTCGATAGAAGCTCTCAGTGAGGCCACAGCCTTACAATTGTCATGTTTGACATCTAGGCTGGTCGACAGACATGGATTTTGTGTATTTGTGCGATTATGTGCTGGAATATGGAAATAAAAAGGCGATTACTTATAAAACTACAGGTAAAATACTTTTATGATTTAACGTCAATCATAATTTATTTATAAACTTTTCTCTTTCATATACAATTAGTGTTATTTGTTTAAAATTTGAGCTCCATGCTTGACCTATTTAGGTACAGACAATGGTACATCAAAGTAAATAATGTGTCATCTTAATTAGTATAATATGTAAGATTGAGTAAATCAAATCATAAATATTTAAACACTACACACTGTTTGATCAGTATTTTGGCACTTATTACAAAAATAATTATAAATAAGGGTTCCTTGTCAGGACTACGGAACCCTAAAAAGGGAGCCCTTAAGGGGCACTTGTCTACTTACATGTCTCTTTATCTTTTATAACAAACAAAACTGTATGGTCTTAAAATGAATTAGGTTTGGATGAGATCTAAGACTTCTCTTTTAAATTCTGGACTTTTTACACAGCGCCTTTTTCCCAAACTAAGCAAACATTATGCATTGTACAGACTACGGTAACTGGGTAATAGTAAATTAACTCTACGATAAAAATAAAAAAAACTTTTATTTAGCGCCAACAAAAGTACCTAATGCATGAAATTTAAAAAAAGACATGCATACCTACTCCCCTTTGATTGGTGGTGTTCAATACTCTATTGATCTAAGATCTCTTTAATTTAATATTTCATCAATAAAATGTCTGATCTCTCTGTTTCCAGGTGACTCAGACCCTCAGAGGAGGGCCCTCATCAAGGAGAAGACGAACAAGTACCTCTCCTACGCCGAGGCTATCTACAAGAACCACCTCTGTGATAACGAGCAAAGCGTGAGTGTTCAATTAAATAGACATTGACTGTAATATTCTAGGAACAAGCTTGAGTCCTTTTAGGTGTATTTATCAAATTAGTTAAAAAGATGATTAGTCTTACAAAATTGGTGTACTACAATATAAATAAATATACAGGGTTGAAACGATGACTGTAGAATTTATGAGAATCTATAGCTTTTGCTTTATTTAGTTACAGATCGTCATAAATTATAGCCTATATGTTATTCTGGGTTATAAACAATAATACCACAGAATAATAATAAGTACTACGCACAGAAGTTTTTATTCGCGAAGGTATTTAAAAAAATGTATGCTCAATGTTATTAACAATATAGTACTACTACTTCATGGAAAATCGACCACAATTTTATATTTCCATATTTTCATGAGCAGTGAAGTGACCATGATAGGTAAATAAGCGCTTTTTGTTTTTATATCTATTTGCAATAATTAAATGCCATTTATGACTTAAAATATACCCGTCTCTCTCCCCCAGCTGCTGCCAGAGCGAGACACAACATTAAAACCTCTGCACTGCCCCCTGCCGGCCGCTATGCTCAAGCGGCCGTACGAAGACTTAGCACTATACAGGGTGTTAGCTGTTCTGAGTTCAAGTATTATGCTAGTTCTGCATAGGGAGGAACAGACTTGCTATGCTATGAAGGTGAGATGTTCAAATTCTTTAGTATGTAGACGCATTTTTAAGTCATTTTTTGTCATCAGGTACCTTAATAATTTAGTCTCCACTACAGAAACATTTAATTTCTGCAATATGGATTTCTTTTTAAAGATTATTACTAATTATTGTTATTGCACTAATTACTTACTAATAGTCCCGTTAGCCCCTCGTACTAAGCTAAATATGCTTGTGTCATGAGTGATCTCACTCGTGACACAAGCATATTTGTGGTGAGCTCACCACAATAGTCGAGCGGCGGCGGGAACCGAACCCGCATTCCCCAATTTAAATGTTATTCAGTAATAATATTTTAAAAACGTGGCAGAATAAAACCGACCCTTTTTAATAAAGCCTCCAGAATTTAAATTAAATACAAAGCTAAATCTCAATTTGAAGAATGGAACAGAAATTATGTTTCAATTAGCTGTCAATTTTTTACTGTGATAAAAAGTATTTATATTTTTGTTTAATTTCTTTCCAGGTCATCCAAAAAATCCCGCACAACCTAACGGAATTCGACGAATACTTCTTACAACGCACCAAAGAAACCCGCGAACCAGTTTTACCAACCGTTATACCATACATGGTACCCCTCCACGCGTTCATAGAAACAAACAACCTAATATTTCTAATACTATCCTACGCCCCAGGCGAAAAACTATTCGATTACATCAAAAACTACGCGAAATCCATCCCTAATACCCCAGCAAGAGAGGTCAATTTAGAAAACGTGTTCTCCGAACCGAAAATCAAAACAATTGATGTCGAAAACGATAATATTGAAGACAAAGTTGAAGTAACAGATGTCAATGTAGAAATAAATGAAGAAATAGTTAATAATAATGAAGTAGAAACAACCGTTTTGGACAATTCAGACCTTAGTGTCAACGAAATAGTGTCGAATTCTCAGAAATTGTTGAAGAATGTTGACAAAGTGTTGAGTGAGATGAAAGGTAAAGACGATACCAAAGTGGGTGATAAAGTGAACATTGATAACTCTGAGAGGAGGGACGTTGTCACACCAAATGTTAATCGAGTAAGTATTGTTTAATTTAATCTTTAATGTACTAACGACAGTGCATCAAGCTAAACACTAGTATATTATGTAGTGTAGTTATTATATGGGCTACTTTACAACAAAATAAAATATGTATAGTCTATTGTGCTGTCGTCTATACTTTAACTATTTCTAGTATCATTATTTGGGTTTCTACAGTAAAATTGCATGAGGGGGTCCTTTTTCACAATGCTTAAGTCATAAACACTACTGTTTTAAAGAAAATTCATTCATTCGTCGGCTATAAACAATTTTGATATGCCCAATTTGAGTATAATAAAATAAAAATTCAGTCCAATGACTAAAAAACAGAACCAGAAATGACATCAAAAGAAGAGGAATAGCGTTTTGGAAACTTCCTTTGCCCTCTTGTTTGCTCGCAAACAACACATCCACTTGAAACTAAACACTGTAGCTTCTTTTGGAATGGCAATAGGTGCTATTTTTCTCCGTTATACATAGAAGTTATAGTTTAACCATAATTTCCAGCTTACTCCAAGGCCGAGAGACGTTCTACCCCCATCAGCTGTTTGCAAGTGGGGTGCTGAAATACTGACGGCCATTGAGAGCTTACACAACTGTGGTGTGATTTGCAGGTATGTTTGTAGTTATTTAACTAAAGATAACTAAGATAAATCTGGAAGCCTGTAGGCCTAAGATGCGCATTGCGCGCCGCGATAAGCGTTTATCACGCCACTTTATCGATGTTACACGATAAGCCCATAGATTTGTCGTCTAAAATCATCGATAAGATTTTATCACGGAGCGCATCCTAGCCCGGCTGGGGTCTCAAAAAATAAATTTTAGGCTACCTGGACTTCTAAACTTTTCCAGGCCATAAATCGCCTAAATTGTGTCGTGCCGAACTTGTATTTCTGATGATTTTGAGTCTTTTTCTCTATACAATTGTTCAAAATTCAATTTGAAGTTCAAGATATTAAAAAGATATGTGCTTATTTAAAGCAATAATGATTTTAGTGACACTGCATGGGTTTTATAACGCGGGTGTGTTTGTTTTTCATCGAAATCTCCCAGTTTGAGATGGTCAATGTCATAAAAAGTCAGTTTTTTATAATTATGCTTTCACAAAGCACTTATAGACAATGGAAAATAAACATGTGCTATATTATTTATTAATTCCGCCCCGAGATACTCTCCAGTTAAGTTTAAACTCTGTAAATTCGAATTAAAACACCCTGTATTATTTCACAGGGACCTAAACCCTTCAAACGTGCTCCTCGGTTCTCACGGACAAGTGATCCTAACCTACTTCATATCCTACCCCGGCTTGGACATGGCGCTGTCCAAAACGCGGCCGAAACCGGGCGACGTCAACATGTATGTGGCGCCGGAATTGTATTACAACACTATTGTGGATGAGAGAGACGTGTCGAGCGATAAGTTGTGCGACTATTGGAGTTTTGGAGCGGTTATGTATGAACTGCTTTGTGGGGTGGTGAGTTTTTGATTTATTTATTTATTTGTAACTAGCTGACCCGGCGAACTTTGTTCCGCCTTAAAGGCAATAAATAAGCAGACTTTTTTTAAATTTCGAACGGGATAAAAAGTATCCTATGTCCTTCTCCTGGCTCTAAACTACCTCCCTGACAATTTTCAGCTAAATCGGTTCAGCCGTTCTTGAGTTATAAGTGGAGTAACTAACACGACTTTCTTTTATAGATAGGAAACGTAACTAAACGTAAACGAACTAAAATCGAAGTGGCAAGGGCAGGGCACATAGTACGCAGAACTAACGGCCGATGGGGCAGCAAGGTTCTGGAATGGAGGCCGCGTACCGGAAAACGCAGCGTGGGACGTCCACCCACAAGGTGGACCGACGACCTCATAAAGATAGCAGGAAGGCGCTGGACGCAGGCCGCTACCAACCGGGCAACATGGAAAGCATTGGGGGAGGCCTATGTTCAGCAGTGGACGTCCTATGGCTGAAATGATGATGATTTGTAATAGGTTTACAAACAGTTTATATTAAAGGACTATTTTGTTTTATATGCTTGATGGACAGATGACCTTAAAAAAAATTTGGAAGTGGAATGGTTGGAAGTACTCTGAACCTGAAAGCTAACGATTATTACAAAATTAAACACTGAAACTCAACGTTTTACACGATAATGTCATGCTAAGTTTAAATCAGTGTGTTTCTTAGTAAGGTTATGGGCCCTATAAACTTGCAAGGTTCAATTATCTCGATTTAACTATAAAAACTTCAATTCAATTATAATAATATCAGTTCATCTATATTGTAGTACTTGTTGGGTAATTTACTTTCTAACTGTAGTAAATATGTATTTTCTTTTTCAGCCTTTATCATACTACCACAGGAGTGTCTTCACGAGTCACACCATACTACAACTGCCCGACGGATTGTCGGTGGAGGTGGAATCATTGCTAACACAGGTATTAAATTATAATAAGCTCTTTTATTAATTTATAAATAACAGATTTAACGCTAAAAATTATTTGACCATTGTGGGGATCGAACCCGCGATATCTGGCGATGTAGTTCGGCACACGATCTACAAGGCTAGACGGACTATAAAATCTGAAAATAGCTTTGCAATAAGAAACGTAATAAATATTGAATAAGAATTTTTGCTGTCCCAAAAAAGAGAAAGAACATAACATGATATCATGGAGCCACAACTGTGGATGCGGAAAACGCAGCGTGGGACGTCCACCTGCAAGGTGGACCGACGACATCGTAAAGGTAGCAGGAAGGCGCTGGACGCAGGCCGCTACCAACCGGGCAACATGGAAAGCATTGGGGGAGGCCTATGTTCAGCAGTAGACGTCCTATGGCTGAAATGATGATGATGATGATGAGAGCCACAATTTTTGCATTAGTTTCACCGGCCTGTATCGCAGTAGTTGAGTTGAGCGAACATTAATACTTAGGTTTAACCACATTACAGCTTCGATCTTTTCCAAATGGCCGAACAAGTTAGGAATGTGCGTAATAGGCTAGTTTCCTAAAAAAACTTGTAGTCCGTCAATCATATTTTTAAAATAATATTGGACACGCATATTTTATTTGTTTGTTTCATTCGTTTGAATTACAAATAAAATAATTACGAATTAAATAATTATGAAGTAATAATTAGAAAGTTTTGGTGCGTTGAAGTTCCTTGTGACGTCACACCGTGTTACACTTTTAACTACGCCTTGACGTCACGGGCCTCTTCTTTTGAACTTTAGCGCGCTTTATTTTCATTAGTTTCAAAAAGTGAAAAATACGTGTCGAGTATTTTTGATAAGTTAATTGAAGGACTAATTCAAACTCTTGCTTTTTTACCCAGGAAACATCCTTATTTCATTAAGTAAAGACCTAATATTATGTTTTAATTCCAGTTATTAACCTACGAACCCTCAGAGCGTCTAGGCGCCGGCAAAGACGGCATAGACGAGATCAAACGGCACCCTTACTTCAAGGGCATCGACTGGCGGCACGTCTACGACACCTGGCTGGTCCCGGATTGATGCGGTTCACCGAAAGATCACGCGCAATCGGCAACAGAGTTGCACTTAGTCTGGTAAGGCCCAAAATGTAGTATTTAGTTAGGAAGTACTCAATTGAGTAACAAAAAACCAATAGTTGCAAGACTCAATTCATAAATAACTTGAAAAAATCTAACTGTCTAAGGCGGGAATCGAACCCACGACCTTTTGCTTGCCGGACGGCTGCTCTTCCAACAATTCTAGAAAATGAATTTATTGGTAGCCCTGAAAACCGACTAGATTTTTTCAACAAATTTTCAGTCAATTTTGTTAGCCTAAATACGCGCCGCGATAAGCCCATACATTTGTCATCTAAAAACTTCGATAAGATATTATCACAGCGCTTATCCTAGCCCGATTGATGACGTCATAGTCCCTATTCCCATATAAATTCTATGGTAGTCAGTTACGTTTTGACATCTCATAAAAAGTATGTCAGTTGACTATTAATGTGTCTACTACACTATTTCCTACTAAATTAACGCCCGTATTCACAAACGATGCTTGCTTAAGTGAAGCAGCAAATCGAACGCACAGCGTTGAATAAAGCTCTGTGATTGGTTCTTGTGTCACCCTGTGCGTCCACGCGCACTGTGAGACCTCATAGTAATGTTTGTGAATACGTAACAAATTAAGTAGTCGTGGCTTGATTTAGAGTAGCATAATCAACACATATTCGGAAACAAAGATGTATTCATAAATGTTATAATGTTATTATAATTATGATACTGAGAAATGGGCCTTACAAGTATATACTTTAAAAAAATAGACTGTTTGAATGTTATACGGTAGTTTACTAGTCCTGATTGTAATAATATTATGCAGTTGATAATAATGTTAGTAATCTGTCTCTAAACAAAGTAAATTCCACAAGACAACTTTTTTTATCCACAACGAGGAAGCTCTTGGCCTGTATCTCACCTGATGGTAAGTGACGATCAGGCCGAAGGTGGAAGCGAGCTTCACCCGGAATCCTCAACCACGGAGGAACTGGCTATCTTACCTCTAACTGCCGGAACACAACAATGCTGTTAACATTGTTATTATAGTGACAGACGGACTTAGAACAAGCACTACCACCAACCAAACTGAACAGAAAAATCTGCCCCCACTGGGAATCGAAACAGGGACCTCTGCGTCTGAATCAGGTGGTCTTACCACTAGACCACAAAGGCGGTTGAACATTAACTCTATATCGATTGACAAATCGCTTCGCATTTTACGATCACGTGACATATCGAAAGCTTATGTCATTTTGACATGGCGATTCGAAAAGCGATCATTACTTTGTTTAGAGAACAGAACCGATTTTGCACTATTTCATACTGTTCGTACATAAATATTCTAAATGAAACGTATAGGCTAAAAGTTTTGTAAGAGTAGACTTTTGATAACTTTAGACATTGGAAATAATTAGTCTAGCCTAGCAACATACATCAGCCTATTGAGTAAAAGTTCATAATTATTGCCCTACATCCTATATTATTGTCCTGAACTAGTAGTAAAGCTAGCTTTTAACAAAATAATTTAAATGAGTATTGAAGAAAGCCAGCGTATTAAACCAGCAATTAAATGTTGTTGTCACTTTTTCTTCTTATTGATTGAAACGAGAAAGAATTTAATAAAAACGCATGAAAAAGTGATAACACACCCTTATAAGTATCTCTGGAGAATTTCATTACAAAAAAAAACATATTTTCCAAAATTTATATTTATTATGTTATTCAAATTAGGTTATGTCTATTATAGGATCATATTTTGGTACATTTATAAATATTGGTATAATTAGTAATTCAACCAATCACTAGCTAGAATGTATGTGTGAGTATGAATGTAGTTATGAGTGTCCTTAAATAATACGAACTATAGTGTTTTTGATATATCATTATAATTGTTGCAATTCACGAAGGCGAGTGAGCTTTACATGAGTGTGGTAAAAACTCATAAACTCATTTATTTTTGCAAATAGGCTTTTAAAAAGCTCTTTTACACGTCCCAATATTAACCCTACTTGCTTCGGGATAAATGGGCCAGTGCTGAGAAGAAGCAGCGCAAGAAACTCAGTCACTATTGTCAGTCTCCTTTTCAAGGGCTTACAGTCTTTAAAATATACAAATTATATGTAAGTATCGATGCGAGCTAGGTAGTTAAACATTCCAAACATTTTTATCTTTTATTACCACCCTGTATAATCATCAACTTTATAGTAGCCCTTTTTGTGGTGTGGTGGCTCGCTACTGTTCGTTTTACAAAAGTTTTGATAGACATTACACTATCGTTATGTGCATGTAAACGTACACACAAGTAAGCTCACTCGCCTTCGTGAGTTGCAAGAACTATACAATTTATAAGGATTGAGTGAATACAACGTGTCCCAAAATTCAAGGATAAGCCGGCGCCGCAGGNGACCGGCGTTGAAGCGAGACGGCAGCATACGTCTTCACGGGTGTGCGAGTGACGCAGATGTATTGTGGCGGCCGCAGCACGCATGCGCCAACCATTCGGTCACGTTCAGTCAAGTCGGGGTTGGCCCAATCTCATAGGCGGAAGCGGATCGCTCCGAAATCTAAGGCGGTGGTCCAAGTTAGGAATGTGGCGGATGGCCGCCACAGACTGTTTGAATGTTATACGGTAGTTGACTAGCCCTGATTATAATAATATGCAGTTGATAATAATGTTAGTAATCTGACTCTAAACAAAGTGAATTCCGCAAGAAAACGTTTATTATACAGGGTGTTAGGTAAATGGTGATATGAGCCGACATTAGCCCATGTTAACATGGGCATATAAATGGTATGGTGAAGTTAGAAATTTGATATCATCATTTTAATTTTCATACAAATTATTTTTCTATAAAATCCGATTTGTATGAAAATTAAAATAATCAAAATGAAAATATCAATTTTCTGACTTTACTATACCATTTATATGTCCATGTTAACATGGCCTAGTGTCGGATCATATACCCATTTACCTAACACCCTGTATTGATTGACAAATCGCTTCGCCTTTTAAGATCACGTGACATATCGTAAGCTAATGTCATTTTGACATGACGATTCGAACATCGATTACTTTGTCTAGAGAACAGAACCGATTTTGCACTATTTCATACTGTTCGTACATAAATATTCTAAATGAAACGTATAGGCTAAAAGTTTTGTAAGAGTAGACTTTTGATAACTTTAGACAATGGAAATAATTACTCTAGCCTAGCAACGTACATCAGCCTATTGAGTAAAAGTTCATAATTATTGCCCTACATCCTATATTATTGTCCTGAACTAGTAGTAAAGCTAGCTTTTAACAAATTAATTTAAATGAGTATTGAAGAAAGCCAGCGTATTAAGCCAGTAATTAAATGTTGTTGTCTCTTTTTCTTCTTATTGATTGAAACGAGAAAGAATTTAATAAAAACGCATGAAAAAGTGATAACATCCACATGTAACCCTTATCAGTATTTCTGGAGAATTTCATTAAAAAAACATATTTTTTTCCAAAATTTATATTTATTTATTATGTTAATAAAATTAGGTTATGTCTATTATAGGATCATATTTTGGAACATTTATAAATATTGATAAAATAGTAATTCAACCAATCACTAGCTAGAATGTAGGTATGATGTGTGAGTATGAATATACAGGGTGTCCCGTAATGTAACGTCAAGCCGGAACTAGGTGTTGAGGCAAGTTGTGCTGGTTATCAGAAAAATATAAAAAAAAATCTATGTGGCATATTTTAAAAATAATAGGCATTTAAAAAATATCAAAAAATTCTACTCCAGGTGACGGTCCTTTTGCTCGTGTTGCCACAAATCTTCACTTTTTCCAATTTTTTTTTTTATTATGTAACCCTGAATAATGCTTCTCTAAATTGTTATCAAAATTACAAAACCAGCTGCTCCAGCTTGGATGAAAAAAATACATTATTCTCAAAAAAAAATTCAAAATAAAAATTTTGCCTAGTTTAAACTGACTGTACTGAAAAAAAAATGTACTACGCGAGTGTGGCAAGTGACGTCATAATTTGGCGCATTTAGTAAGGATTCCAAAATGGTATAACACTTGGTAAATTTTTGCTGTGATTGTCGACAATTTTTGTTTTTTTTGGAAATAGTCCCGTTTTTAACTTTATTTACCTTGGTTAAAAATTATTATTCTAATGTGCCCAAAATTCAAGTTTCTGTGACTGACTACCGTACAGTCAGTCACAGAAACTTTTGTCACCATGACAGTAATTAGTAGTTGACATACTGTGACAACTGTGCTCTGCCTGCACTTGTACTTGGTAACAGGGATAATAAGGATATGAAGTTTCGGTTATGGATACGGTTACGGATATTAGAATAATATTATACCGGTTTCGGTTACGGTCACGGATATGAAATCATTTCAGATTATCCGAAAGTCTCGGATAATTTCGGTTACGGAATTATTAGAATTTCAAAAATGTAGGTATAATACAAATAGCAAGATGCTGCGTGAGCGTGACCCACATAGCTACTTTATGTACCAACTAAGACGACACCTATGTATGATAAAGGTAAAACAGGCTGGCATATTAGATGGTGCCAGCGAATGCCAGACAAGTTGGTAACAAATATTAAGATTTAAGGTACAATTCCAAGACGGGCCGCAGACCGCAAACTGCAACCGCAAACTGCAAAACTATGAAATCGGCAGCGCGGCATTGCAGCTGCGGCGTGTATACTGCAGATTTCATAGAGTTTTGCAGTTTGGCCTTTATCCGAAACTATCCGTAACTTTTGAATCAGTTTCGGTTACGGTTATGGACATTTTTTTATTTCGGATATCCGATAGTTTCGGTTACGGTTACGGATATCCATAACATCCCTGCTTGGTAAGATGGCCCTCTCCGTCCCGCTCATACCTTTTAAAATGGCTTCTCCACCTCACTTAAGCCAGAAACTTGAATTTTGGGCACATTAGAATAATATTTTTAACCAAGGTAGATAAAGTTAAAAACGGGATTATTTCCAATAAACAAAAATTGTTGACAATTACAGCAAGAGTTTACAAAGTGTTATACCATTTTGGAATCCTCACTAAATGCGCCAAATTATGACGTCACTTGCCACAGTCACGTAGTACAATTTTTTTCAGTACAGTCAGTTTAAACTAGGCAAAATTTTTATTTTGATATTTTTTTTTTGGAATAATGTATTTTTTTCATCCAAGTTGGAGCAGTTGGTTTTGTAATTTTGATAACAATTTAGAGAAGCATTATTCAGGGTTACATAACAAAAAAAAAATTTGGAAAAAGTGAAGATTTGTGGCAACACGAGTAAAAGGACCGTCACCTGGAGTAGAATTTTTTGATTTTTTTTAAATGCCTATTATTTTTAAAATATGCCACATAGATTTTTTTTTATATTTTTCTGATAACCAGCACAACTTGCCTCAACACCTAGTTCCGGCTTGACGTTACATTACGGGACACCCTGTATGTAGGTAGTTATGAGTGTCGTTAAATAATACAAACTATAGTGTCTTTAATATATCATTTTATAGTTGTTGCAATTCACGAAGCGAGTGAGCTTTACATATGTGGTGGCTCGCTACTGTTACTTTTTTAAAAGTTTTGACAGACATTACACTATCGTTATGTGCATGTAAACGTACACACAAGTAAAGCTCACTCGCCTTCGTGAGTTGCAAGAACAATACAATTTATAAGGATTGAGGAGTGAATATAGATCCATTCTTTGCATGATAATTTCGTTCACTCATTCAGTTCAGGTTTAATCGTAATTTAATTTAAAAATATGCTATTTATTACTCTATTCCATTCGTTTATAATGTTTGCTATTTTTAACGGAATAAGTATTTATTAGCTCGCGTAAAATAATCAAGTGAATGAATGAATGATGGAACGAAAGTTTGACAGCAATGTCAAATTGACAACTAATTTCAGTTATTTAATCTCA